TAAGTTTTAATACAATGCAATAGCCTTACAAACAAAAAGCTCTTTTGGAATTCTCCATAATTTTTAAAATGGAGGAAGGGTCCCGAGAGGAAAAAAAAAAAAGTTGTAAGAAACCCTGTTCTAGAAGAATTAACCCCTATGGAAAAAGATTCTCCCTCCCCAAGAAGAATCAATAATACGACACTGATATTGGAGTCCGGATAATAACGGTCGATAGCTTAGCAGTGTTTTGTGACGGAAAAGAATGCTGTATTTTAAAAGAAATAACAATTGTTTTATAGTTATCAGTTGCGAAAAGAAAAACAAGGGATCTTGCAGATGCTTGAGTCTTGAGTTTTGGAAGATCCCAATACAGGTAGTCCTCAGCTTATGACCAGGATTGAGCCCAAAATGTCTGTTGCTAAACAAGACCGTTGTTAAGTGAGTTTTGTTCCATTTTACCTTTCTTCCCATAGTTTTTAAGGGAATCACTGCGGTGGTTGAGTTAATTTACTTTATTGTCATTGCACCTGGTACAACGAAATTAAATGCCATCTTCAGTGTACAGTATACACAAAAAATAAAACAAAAACACACATCCTTCACATTCTGTGCAATTGAATTGAAAACCTCTGATATTGCATTCATATTGCACTATGCAGTAGAATTCAATAGAGTTACTGCTCTGGGATAGAAGCTGTTTTTTAGCCTCTTTGTCCTTGTTTTTATTCTCCTGTACCGTCTGCCAGATGGTAATAGTTTTAAAAAAAAAGGGTTCTCAGGATGAGATGGATCTTTGAGAATGTTTTCAGCTTTCTTAAGGCAGCGGGAGCTATAAAGCTCTTCCAAAGAGGGGAGAGGGCAACCCATGATCCTCTGGGCAATGACGTTAACCCTCTGGAGTGCTGTCCTATCTGCCACTGGGCAATTGGCAAACCATGGTGCAGCAGTAGAAGGTCACCAGCAGTTTTTCATTCAGTTGTTGTTTTCTGAGGAGTCTCAGGTAGTTTAACCTCTGCTGGGCCCTTTTGACCAGGGCTGCAATGTGAGCACCTCAGGTCAGGTCCTCTTTTAGGGTAATACCCAGAAACTTCAAACTGACCACTTGCTCCACTTGGTCTCCATTGATGGATGTCTGATCTCTTCCTTCTAAAGCCCACTATAAGCTCCTTGGTCTTATTGTCACACGATTCTTAAGCGAATCCCTGGATTTTGCTTGTCAGAAGGTCAAAAAGGGGATCCCCTTGCTTGTGTCTAATTGACCACCTCTCCCAATCCATTACATAGAGCAGGTGCTCCTTTTGTTTTGAATGGCTCGTATTTTGCCTGGTTTCTTCCCTGTTGAATAAGCGTCTGCTTGTTTCCTTCTAGCCCGTTTCTTTCGAGGAGGTCGCTGTGTGCTTCTCCCAGGGAGAATGGTCTCTCTTGGGCCCCAGTCAGAGAGTCTTGTACAAGGAAGTGATGCAGGAGAATTATGAAAATGTGACGTCTCTCGGTAAGAATCTCTAGGTTTTGTTTTTCTTCTACTAGAACAGGGGTCCCCAAACTTGGCAACTTTTAAGACTTTTGTGGACTTCAACTCCCAGAATTCTGGGAGTTGACGTCCACAAGTCTTAAAGTTGCCAAGTTTGGAGACCTCTACTCAAATCTTCAAGATACGTTGGGTTGCCACTCTTTTCACAGCCATCCGATGATCGGCTGGGGATGATGGAATGTCCTGGAAGTTGCTTGGCTGAATCGTAGAATCTTCTTCATAGGGTTGGAAGACCCTTTGAAGGCCTTCCAGTCCAACCCTTTAACCAACCCTTTAGCCTGTCTCGTCCTTGGGCGCTGTGGAGAATTAACCCCAGCCTTCTTCCCTTAAACCCGCCCAATGTTTTCAGCCATTCTTCATCAGATTTACAGGGAGTCCTTGCCATGCTTTTTTGACCTCTTTCTGAATTAGCTAAGTATTGTCCTGTTTGGGAAGCAGACCTCCTAAATGTACTCTTAAAATTCAGGCGTTTGGGCAGGGGTGGGCTGCTGAGGGCTCGCAGGGGCTCAGGAGATCCCCTAGCGAAGACTCAAAAAGCCCCCAATAACCTTAGAAAGACAAGCAGCAAGGGAAAGCTCTTAATGGGCTTAATTGAACTTCTGGGCGTTCAGCCAAGAGCATTTCACACCTCGTAAAAGTGTTGCAAGCTAGATAAACAAATCCACTCAGCGCTTGGGCCATTGAGAAAACCAGATAACATAGCCAGTAGCCTCTGAGGGGATTAATTCTCAAATAATAAGAATCACATAACTCACCAGAAACTCCACTTAAAGACTCCAAGATCCCTCTCACAGTCATTGCTATTAAGCCTGGTTTCACCCAGTCTTTTATTTAAGTATTAAATGCACAAAATAATAAACAACTTTTTGGTATATATCTTTTTTTTTTTTGGTAGTTAGGGCAAAGGAGTGACGTCCAGTTGGCCACACCCACCCAGTTACATGACCACCCAGCCAGTCATTAGGGCAGAGAGCCCCTTGCTAAAAAAAAATTGAAGCCCACCCCTGAATTTGCGGTAGTGAAGAATCCCTGTTTCTGTCCAGAACTAATTGACTTAGATTGTTCCCCTGTAGGAGAAGGAATAGCAGAATCTGGGGGCGGAATCAAAAGAGGAATCAGCCTAGAATCACTTACGTTGCCACAAATGCTCTAAGTCCAACCCCTCTTGAATTCTGTTGACCCTTATCTAAGTGCCAAAATAGTGCTGTTACTTGACTAGATTCCTGTGCATAGACATGAGCAATAAACTAACTTAATTGGAATTTAGCATGTGGCCCTGGTATCCAGACAGGTCTCAAAGATAACTATTTTATCCATACAATAAAATCTTTTTTTTTTTTTTTTGTAAATTTTATTGAGTTTTCACAAAGAAAAAAAAAATACAAATAAAACATCTTTTTTGAAAGTAGCGTAATCCCGGGTTACATTTCTTCGTACAGACACAAATTCGACTTCATGCTCATTTTTATATTCTATTCCATGTCTTATTACTATTTTACATTTTCAGCATAGCTTCTCCCCTCTTTTAATTTTCTCAATTTTATTTTAATTATCTCATCTCAATTCAAATCATTATATTTATATTTTTTTGTCTGTCCTGTTTCAATTATCTATTATCTTTTCTCATTAAACAAAATTTCTCCTGTAGTTGGAGTATGACGCCTTTATATCTTTTAAGTTTATCCATTTAACTCTTATTTAGGCTTCAATATATACCCTAAAGTTATAACATTCAATATAATACATAACTTCCATTCGGATTCTGCTTGGTACATTCTTAAAATACACACTATATTCTTAAAAAAAGAAAAAAATTATAAATGTATGTAATTAAAACAACACATTCCATTCCAATTTAATTCCATCATTAATATTAATATTCATTAAAATCTTAACTTCTTTACCATTACTTTTCAATTAAATATCATACTTCTATGGGAACAATTGTAAGCTTTCCATCATTAATTCCCCCCCTTCACTTATATTTTATAAAACATTAACTAATTAAGATGTTCCCGTTCCTTCCTAATTCAATTTATCCATTTATTTTATTTCACTTATTTTATTAACAAACATTTCACTAAATTACACTAACTATTTTATCCCTCATTTTAATCATACATTGTTTCCAATTTTCTAAAGTTATTTCTATTACTAATATAACAATACAATCTTATGTACCTTTACAGAATCCCTTTTTCAGTTAAATTTTCACCCATTATCTCTAAATAGGTCCCGTTTCTCTATATCTTGTTCCGGTCCTTGGTAACTTCTTTTCCTTTCCTTCTTCCCTCTCCCCTTTTTACCCCCTTGTCTCTCTACCTCTATTTCTCTCTTCTGTATTCCCCTTTTCTGTTGCTTTCCAGTATTATACTTATTTTTCTAATTATTTTTCTTTGGTTGTTTTTTTAAGTCTTAAATTCTCCATTCTCTTTCCCCCCTTTCCTTTTTCTTCCCCACATAAAATTACTTGTTAATTAAAGATGGCTTCTTCTTTGTCCCAGTCTTCTTGTTTTGCAGTCGTTTCTTGTTGTTTCTCATAGTTCCAAATCTCCATTTCTAAGAATTGAAAAACGAAGCCAAAAGAACCCTTCCCTTCTTATGCATCTTCTTTGTACTTTTTAAGCTCCATTTTCAATTCATCTAAAAGCGATGCCATTGTATAAATTTTTAAACAACCACCTGATTAATTTTAGTCATTCAAATTTAATAACCAAGAATCGAACGATCACCAAGTAATACAAATACACGCTGTTTTTTTTTGCTCTTTTTTTTCACTTTCTCTTCCTGGGGTTACGGTTTAGTTACAAAGTTTCAGTCAAAATGTATCTTTTAGAAGTCTTATTGAAGTTTTACTGTAGATTCTTTTTAATTCCGGGCAGTCTCCTCCCTCTTCCAGATCCTGCCCTTATTCTTTTTCTCTCCCTTCCTGCTTATGAAAAAAAAATATAGTGTCCAGAAATCTTTATTATCCCTTTGACATTTTGTTTTATTTTCAGCTTAATTGCCTGTTGATGTCAAAGCAGATTTTTCCGGTTTCTTATTTAAGTCTCTTAGTTGTCAGTATAGGGAAGGGAAGAGAAAAAAAATCAAACCTTTCCCTTTTCACTTTCCTTCGCTGCTTCCGACTCTTCTTTGGGAGCAATGTTATTTTTTTGTAAGTTTAAATTCCAGGGTACCTTAGTTGTTGCTTTTACAATTTAACCCGGTCAGCCAAAACTTTCACTTCTTATCTTCCTCCTGCACATTCTTTTCCGGTTGAGTTCTTCTTCATGGTGGCCATTTCTGACCACCGCTGTAACCGCCTTTGGGAAAGGGAGTAATGGCCAGCTGAGGAGGAGAGGTGTGGCTCTCCTCAACCCTGCTGGCGGTTTCCCCCCTCTTCACCACCTCTACAGGGTGGCTTAGCCCCGAAACCAGCCAGCTCAGGGCGCTCCAGCGGCGAGCCCAGACCGAAACCGCGCACAATCGCGGATTTCTGTCTGTCACCGAAGAGAATTCAAACCGGAAGCCCATAAAATAAAATCTTGATATGGAGATGTATTATAAAACATATTATTAAAAAGGTCCTTGTTCACAAATCATTTTCCTGACCAAAAAAATAGTAAAGAAGCAACATTCTGAATCCTATTTCTTCTACCCTGCTGTGCAACTTCTATGCCATCAGAAAGCTAATCAGATAACAGATCATCAAAGTTGGAAGGGACCTTGTAGGTCATCTAGTCCAACCCCCTGCCCAAGCAAGAGATCCTACACTATTTCTGACAGATGGGAGTCCAATCTCTTCTTGAAAGTCTCAAGCGATGGTGCTCCCACAACTTCTGAAGGGCAACTTCTGTTCCATTGGTTGATTGTTCTCACTGTCAGAAAGTTTCTCCTTATATCCAGGTTAAATCTCTCCTTGTTCAGTTTCCATCCATTATTCCTTGTATGGTCTTTGGGTGCTTTGGAATATAGCTTGACCCTTTCCTCTGTATAGCAAATATTGGAAGACTGCTATCATGTCTCCCCCTGGTCCTTCTCTTACTAGACTAGCCAAGCCCAGTTCCTGTAACCATTCTTCATATGTGAACAGTTGCCTCAGTTAAGACTGTCACCACTTAAACCTCTAAGTAGAAATGATGCACGGCTCCATTTGCCGAGAAAGGCCATAGTTTTATTAGAAGTCAAGTGTATTGAAGTAATCCATAGCCATAACTAAGAATCGCGCACCAAGATCCCTAAATTCAACTTTTCCCTCCCATTACTGTCTCTCATGCTGATCTCCCCCTGACCAATCAGGTTCAAGCAAGGTGTTTTAGAGAGAGTCATTCAAGTTGTCATGCCCCTGTTGGAATCTGATTCCGAGGGGGAGATTGAGCAGCTGACAGGAAGTGGGAGTGTGGCTCCAGTGGCTGTGGAGGAAACTGGAGAAGGACACAGTCCAGCTGGGCATTCAGAGGAAGGCTCAGGGCCACCCCTTCTTCATCTTAGGGCATGCAGGGATGAACAGAGAAGGGAGCAATGTGAGTTACGGGGGAGAAAATGGTCCTGATTACCTTCATTAGCTGCAGCTGGGAAAACAGGATAAAGAGAGTGATTGCGCACAGAACCTTGCTGGAAGCAAAGCGTGCATTATCTTTGTCAAGCCGTATCTGGGTTCTGGCATCCTCCCAACGGTGTGTGTTTCATTATCTTTTGAAGTCTGCAATTCCTTACCCTGCCCTGTCTCGTTAATTGCTGCAGCGTGGTTTGTGTTGGTTTTTATTTATAAATTATATGTACTTTGGGTTCAGACTGAATTTATTCCCCTTTAAAAACTGTTCTTGGGAGAGTTTTTTCTCCAGCCGATGATAACTAGACATTGGGGGCCAAGTTGGAGGTGTACCTACTTTTGTGACTTAGTTGCTTTTGTGCCACGCCACGCGGCATCACACAAGTGTAGGTTGGCATGCAGCTGCCTTCTTTTCCTAGCCGGGTGACCTTGAAGCAGCATCTCGGGGAGATACAGCCGTTACTTTCATTTCCCCCCAAGCATTTCCCCTCCCATCCACCCTCCCCAGAGTTCATGGCAGACTGTTACTGCATGGTGGCATACGGGGGCAACTGACAGAGACATTTAATACTGTTTTTTATTCTACACTCACGTTGCTGTCCCATTGCTGTTGTTCATTTTGTGCTGAGACATACAGAAGGATGGTTCAGTGACGTAACCTAGATTTTATTTTCTTGGATTTTATTTTTGTACTAGTTCTCTCGCTCACCGGTTTGGGTCCAAATTCGTGGATGGAGGAAGAAGATGAGGCCGTTTTGGGTCTGCACTCTCAACTTTCTGAGAAAGGGGACAATCAAGATGTCCGCATGGCAGGTGGGAAAAATGAAGTAGGGGTCATGTTAGCAACATCTATGGCAAGGGTGTCAAACTCAAGGCCCGGGGGGGCGGATACGGCCCACAGGTTGCTTCGATCTGGCCCGCAGGGTCACCCCCGAAACCGCAAAGGAGTGGCCTGCTAGGCCTCCTCCAGCAAAGACGGAGCTCGGGAGGGGCCGTGTGTGGTCCTCCCGAGCTCCATTTTCACTTGCGGAGGGTTGCAGAAAGCTGTCAGAGCCGAAAACGGAGCTTGGAAGCCCATTTTCACTGGCGGAGTGTTCAGGCCACTACAGGCATCCGCCGACAAGAGTGACATCATGCTGGCCATGCCTACCCCAACCCCCGCGGTCAAGCACAATCCTGATGGAGCCCTCAATGAAATCAAATTCGATTTCATGACGCTCCTGGCCTAGGATAAACTCTCTGTCAACTCCTAAAAATATATTTTATGGTCGTTTTAGAGTTGCCAAAGAAAGGGAGTGGGGGAAAGGGGTTTGAAAGAGCAGTACGGCAGCTGGGAATCGAAAGTCCATTCCATGCATAGTTTTTCAGAGATTGTAACTAGGTGACTGAAGTTTCTGCCTTGCGCAAAAATCTAACTGGAGAACATGATTGATGACTCTGGGCTATGGATGTGTCCGATTGGAGAATATGAATTATGATACACCCAGCGGGTTGGGGGAAAACCAGGGTCAAGGGTGACAATGGATTACGTGTCTCAGAGTCAGCTACACCCAGGCAGTGCTGGACATGTTAACTCCCAATAAATTCTGATTACTTTGGGAAGTTTGGCTCGAGACTCACGATTTAATTGGGGTAACTGCCGGAATCCTGACACTGTCCCTTTGATCTGTTCAAAGGCTGTGTCTGCGAGTGTTTGAATGTGAAATGGTGAGGATCAGCTATGGAACTCAACAGCTAACAAAGCATGTTTTCCAGAGTCTCTACATCTTTTTTATCAATGATGACCAAAATTGGATGCAGTATTCTAAGTGTGGTCTTACCTAGGCATTGCCAAAGTCCAGTTGCCATGGCTCAACTTCCAGACTGATTTAAAGTGATTTGAATTTAAAACACTTTGCATAACCTTAAGAAATAGCTGGATAAGCGATAAGCTCTGATAGCATGATGTGAATGAGCTAATCGCTTTCAGCTCCTATATGAGATTTGGGTGTCGATTGCTGGAGCAGTCACTTACTCACTGAGTTGTTTTTCCATTGTTTTATGGTAGCATCCCAAGAGCAAGAAAAAAGCAAGGAGAAGGAGAAGATGGAGAAAAAGAAGACTGAAAAAGAGAAGGAGAAGATGGAGAAAAAGAAGACTGAGAAAGAGAAGGAGAAGATGGAGAAAGAAAAGGAGAAGATGGAAAAATCAGAGAAGGAGAAAGAGATGGAGAAGAAGGGGATGGAGAAGAAGTCAGAGAAGGAGAAAAAGAAGGAACAGAAGGAGAAAATGGAGAAGGAGAAAGAGAAACAAAAGGAGAAGAGGCAGACAGAGGAGGAGAAGATGGAGAAAGAGAAAGAGAAAATGGAGAAGGAGAAAGAGAAGGAAAACAATCCCCATCCAGCAAATGTTGAAATTATAAAAAGTGCCGTGAGAAAAGACACAGGGCTTTGCCCAGAGGAGCCCACAACTTGTCCTCGACGCAAATCTAAAAGACAGAGCGAAGCTGGACAAAAGACCAGAGAAGAGAAATCAATTCTTTTTCCAGTGGACCGTCAAAATATCAGCAAAGGAAGGAAACCAAAATCGTGTCCCAAATGCGGGAAGGAATTCAATCAGAGTCTCCTCCTCCTGAAACATAAGCAGATGCACCAAAGGACCACGCCCTACCAGTGTTCAGACTGCGGGAAGGTCTTCAGCCAGCACGCCCATCTTATCAAACACAAGAAAGCGCACAAAAAGGAGAAACGGTTCAGCTGCCCCGATTGCGGGAAGACGTTCCATCGGAGCTCCCATTTCTATTCCCACCAACGGACCCACCGAGGGATCAAACCTTTCAAGTGTTCGGATTGCGGGAAAAGTTACACCCGGATGCCCGACCTTCGGAGGCACCAGAAATCCCACACAGGAGAGAAATCGCATCAGTGTTTCGACTGCGGGAAGAGCTTTGGCTTGTATTCCTCTCTCATCAAGCATGAAAGAACCCACACGGGGGACAAGCCGTACAAGTGCTCCCACTGCCCGAAGAGTTTCTGCCAGAGGACCCACCTCACTGTGCACAAGAGAACCCACACGAAGGACAGGCCCTTCAAATGCTTGCTTTGTGCCGCCAGCTTCGTCCAAAAGGTGCACCTGATTTCACACCAGAGGTCCCACACTGGAGAAAAACCCTTCCGCTGCCACAGCTGCGGCAAAAGCTTCAAACGCAACTCCACCTGCGTGAAACACGAGAAAAGACATGAAGAGAAAAGCGCAGAGCCTCCGCTTCCTCTCAACGTTTCCCCGTCCACGCTTCCCCTCAGCGCTTCGCTTCCCCTCAGCGCTTCCCCCACTCAAAGACCCAGCTGGAGGTCCAGATTGAGAACCATGGGAAGACTTGGAAAAGCGGCGGCTTAAACCCCATCTTAGCAAAAAGAAGAAGGAAAGAAGAGCAGTGGGGTCTGACCTGGGAATATCTTGCGACGGGATTTCCCAGTTAATATTGGGAAACTTAAGAGGAACGGTGGAAGACTTCAAGCAGCGTTTGGAAAAGCCATGGTAGAGGAAGGGAAGGGTTAACCCTTCTTCTCTCCTGGGTCATTTCCTGGATCCAAATCAGTGGTGATATGCTAGCGGTTCGGCCCGGTTCACCTGAACCGGTAGTAAAAGTCACTACCAGTTCAGCCTAACTGGTAATTTAAAAAAGGCCTCCAATCATCTGAGACCTAGAGCAAACCGGTAGCAACTAAGGTAGGATCCCACTATTGATCCAAATGGTGCTTCTTCCCTGCCAAACTACACAGAGATGCTTGCTGGGAAAAGTCCAGGAACACGTGTCCTCCTGCCATTCCTCCCCCCCCCCCCCCCCCCCCCCCCCCCCGCAAATCTACTGGCTTTGTAGGATTTAAATCAGAGAAATGAGTTTGCGGGGAATGGGTTAGATGTCTCTTCCAATCTTTTTTTTTTTTTTAAACAAATTTTATTGATTTTCAAAGACAATACACAAACAAACAAAACATAAAAACATAAAACATCTTTTCTGAAAGCAGCTTGATCCCGGGTTACATCTCTTCGTACAGACACAAATTCAAATTCATACTCATTTTATATACCATTCCATATCTTATTGCCATTTTACATTTTCTATATAGCTTCTCCCCTCTTTTAACTTTCTTAGTTTTATCTCAGTTCAAATCATTATACTTATTATTCTTTGTCTGTCCTGTTTCCAGCTATCTATTATCTTTTCTCTTTAAACAAAATTTCTCCTGTACACTAATTGGAGTATGACGCCTTTATCTCTTTCCCCTAAGTTATAACAGTATAATACATAACTTCCATTTGGATTCTGCTTAGTACATTCTAGAGTTACACACTATATTTTTAAAAAAGAAAAAATTATAAATATGTAATATAATTAAAACAACAATCCATACCAATTCAAACCTATCATAATTTTCTAACATTATTTCTAATACAAATATAACAATACAACCTTATGTACCTTTGCAGAATCCCTTTTTTAATTAAGTTTTTACCCATTATCTCTAAATAAATCGTGATTCTTTACATCTTGCTCCACACCGTTGAAACTTCTCATCCCTTCCTTCCTCCCTTGCTTCTTCTCCCTGTCCTTTTCACCCCCTTGTCTCTCCACCTCCATTTCTCTCTTCTGTATTCCCCCTTTCTGTTGTTTTCTAACATTATATCCACTTTTCACCTTATTTTTCCCTTTTTAGTTGTTTTTTTAGATCTTAAAGTCTCCATTTTCTTTTCCTCCTTTCCCCTTTCTTCCCCAAATAAAGTTACTTGTTCATCAAAGATGGCTTCTTCTTTATCCCAATCATCTTGTTGCACAGTCAGTTTCTCATAGGTACAAATCGCCATTTCTAAGAATTGAAAAAGAGATCCAAAAGAGCCTTTCCCTTCTTGTTCCTCTTCTTTGTATTTTTTAAATTCAATTTTCAGTTCATCCACAAGTGAAGCCATTGTAGAAAGAAAAGTTTTTTTTCCAAACAACCACCCAAGTGTTTTTAGTCCTTCAAATATAATTTCCAAAAGTCCCCAAGTCACCAAACAGTCCAAATAAGCTGTTTCTTTTAAGACTTTCTTCTTTCTTCACTTTCTTTTCCTGGGGTTACTGTTTAGTTACAAAATTCCAGTTAAAATGTATCTTTTAGAAGTCTTGTTGGTATTTAATAATTCTTTCAAATTCTAGGCAGTCTCCTCCTTCCTTCCAATTCCTGCTTGAATTATTTTCCTCTCCCTTCCCACTTACAGCAAAAAAAAATGTTTTTAAATGTTCAGAAATCCTTATTATCCCCTTGGCATTTAGTTATCCAGTTTAGTTACCTATTGATGCCAAAGCGGGTTTTTCCGATTTCTCATTCGTTTCTGTTCGCTGTCAACGTTAGGAAGGAGAGTGGGGGGGAAAAAAGCTTTCCCTTTCAACTCATTCGCCGCTTATTCCAGATCTTCTTTGGGAGCAATGTATCTTTGATTAAATTTAAATTCCAGGTTATTTTAGATGTTACTTGTTATCCCGGTCAGCCAACACTTTCACTTTCTCAGCTTCCTCCTGCACATTCTTATCCGGATGAGAGCTTCTTTGTGGCGGCCATTACTGACTGCCGCTCGACCGCTTTCGGAAAAGGGAGTTAAGCCATCTGAGGAGGGGGGGGGTTGCGATCCCCCATGACCCCTGCCGGATCTCCCCTATCTTCAGTTACCTCTACGGGGTAACTATAGCCCCAAATCCTGCTGGATCGGAGCACTCCAGCGGTGAGCGCAGTAGAAACCGCGCACGATCATGGATTCCTGCCGCCGCTGAAGCCCTGCAAACCGGACGTCCCTTCCAATCTGTTTTGAAGGATCTCGGGTTGATTTGTACACACAAATTATCTCTGAATGATTGATCCATTGGGTGATTGACTAGGATCAGGGATGGAGGGAGGGAGGGAAGGAAGAAATAATAACCGAGAGCCTGCATATTAGGTCTAAAGTTGGCTGGCACGAAGCAAAACTAAGGGATTTACTGCTCAGGGTTGGAGATTTTATTAAAATGTTGTTTAATGGGTACAGCTGTTCTTGGATGCGGCTATTCCCTGTGGGGAATCAGAATATACTGTAGCTTGAATTAGTTATGGTACCCTCTACTTATTTTGTTATAGGTGTTGTGTGCAGTAATGTTTTTAATTGTACTGTATTTCTCTAGGAGAATCTTGTCTGTATGGGATCCTTGTTTAGGAGGCCAGTTAGTTGTCTGTTGGTAAATAAATGAGTTTACGCCTTGATCCAAGGCAGTAGATTCAAGGGTGTGTACTGCTCTTATTTCCTTGCGTTTCCTTTCTCAGCTAAATACAGCATCATATTAGAATAACAATTAGACCCCTTAGGCACCTCTCATACGCAGGGTGGTGGGATTCAATTTTTTTTTACTACTGGTTCTGTGGGTATGGCTTGGGTGTAGCATAGCTTGGTGGGTGTGGCAGGGGAAGGATACTGTCAGCACTCCAGAAAACCTCCACTCCAACAAATAACTCCGAGACAGACATCCTCTCAAAAGTTCTTTTTTATTTGGGTAGTAAACTGGCACATCTGGGAAGTTCTGAACCTGAAAGTTCGGGGTTTCCTTGCAATAAGTAAAAAGTTAAAAACTCACCCCCTGCACCTATCATTGACCATCACAAGCCCCAATCACCATCCGTCCCAACTTGAGACGTCCTCTCACCCAGGTGCAGAAATCACATGACCTTGACTTAGAAAAAAGAATGCTATTATGTCTAACCACACACACACACTCTCAAGAAATTCCCCCCTCCCATTTTCCCAGGCTCAAGAATGTGGCAACGTGGAAGCGTCTGGTGCTAATATGGCTTCCAAAGCTGACTGATAACTGCAAAATCCCCGTTCCCTCCCCACCCCACTAATCTGCTTTCCAGCTCTGTTCTCCTGTGCAGGAACAACCAAAGAAGACCCAGCCGATCAGCTGGGACTCGGGAGGCAGAGAATAGATGGGGGCCGGGGCAAGTCAGAGGTGGTATTTGCCAGTTCTCCGAACTACTCAAAATTTCCGCTACCGGTTCCCCAGAACTGGTCAGAACCTGCTGAATACCCATCTCTGCTCATATGTCAAAGGTGCTTTGTCGAGCTCCAAAAAATGCCTTTTGTGCAAGGGTGGGATTCTATCGGTTCGGCCCGGTTCAGGCGAACTGGTAGTTACCGCGACTATTTGGCCCCATCCACCCGTCCTTGTCCTATTCTGTCCTTTATTTCCGGGGTTTTCAGCTGAAAAACTGTTTTTGAAACGTGAGCATGGACTCTCGCCGAACTGGTTGTAATTTGAATTTGAATACTTTTATTGTCACTGTACGTTTATACACAACGAAATTCAAATAACACCCAGAGACCAGACTCAACATGCAGACACACATGACAATCCCCAAACACCTCCCCACCCGCCAAAATTCCCCGCCCCCTAAAAACACACAGGCATCCACACAACAGACACAGTAATACTGTTTAGGAGCTCACTGATGGTGGTCCTTAAGTGCATTGTTTTAAGTGCAATTATAGCTCCGGGCTAAAAAACTGTTCAGAAAACAGTGTGGTCCAAGTTTTAATTGTTCTGGATCTTCTGCCAGAAGGCCGCAGTTCATAAAGTGTAAGTACCGGACTTTTCCCCTTCAACCGAAAAGAATGAACTTCCGAAAGCTAGGTACTTCAAAAGGAAGTTGGACCTTCTCCCGTTGTTGGGTGTTTATTGGGTTTATTTGTTAAGAGTTTTACTCCACTGCAATTTAGAAGCGTCTCTGCAGCTCGCAAAGACAACAGAAGTACAGTAGAAAATAAAAATAGAAAGATACAAAGAAAAACTAAAAACGTGAAGCGTTCAGTATCACTATACCAGCTCTCCACCAATTGAGCCAGTGATGGCAAAGGGCTAATTCCAAACCCTCTTAAAAACTTGTGTTTTATCTAGAATAGAATAAAAACTTCATTGTCACGTTAAATGTACACTAATAAGCATACATTAAAGGGCCTGGAAACTAAAACACACGAAGAACAGTTTCAGGAATTGGGTATGTCTAGTCTAGAGAAAAGGATGTCTAGTCTAGAGAAAAGGACTAGGGGATATGATAGCAGTATTCCAATATTTGAGGGGCTGCCACAAAGAAGAGGGGGGTGTCAATTTACCAAAGCGAAGTAGGCAACTCAAGAAACAATGGATGGAAACTAATCGAGAGAAGCAACCTGGAATAGAAAGCTTCCTAACAATGAGAACAGTTAACCAGTGCAACAGCTTGCCTTCAGACGTTGTGGGTACTTCATCACTGGAGGTTTTGAAGAAGAGGCTGGACAGTCCCTTGCCTGATATAGTATACGCCAGGGCCTCCTGCTTGAGCAAGGGATTGGACTAGAACAGTGGTCGCCAACCGGCGGGCAAGAAAATTTTGGTGGTCCGCAGAGAAATGTCACCCCCAAAGCAATTAATCCAGGCTGCGTGGGAACACAAGGCTGCGCCGCCCACATAGCCTGCAGGAACACAAGGCTTGCGTCCCTTGCATTGCAAACAACACGAGGTAGTGAGGGGGGGGGAACTTGACCCACTCGCCTCATGTGCCTCGCCTGGCCACCGGCTGCTGCTTTCTGCTTTTGCTTTTGGCTGCACACAAGGAAAGCAGCAAAAGTCTTTCTTTCTCTCCCCCAAACTCCGCCAGAAATGAGTGTTTGGGACCCTGCGAGGCATCCTGCTCCAAGGGGCTGTGCTGGCGTGACAATCTCACAAAGACTCATTTCTGGCGGAGTTTGGGGGAGAGAGAAAGAAAGACTTCTGCTGCTTC